CGCTCTGGCGTCGCCGGAGGTGGCGCCAGTTTGGCCCCAAAGGGTGATCACGACGATCGGGCTTCGAAAGAAGGGCGGGGCATTGTGAAAACTCCCAATCGTTTCAAAGTTACTCAACATGAATGCTACTCACCTCTCCTTAAAACGCGTCACCTGCGTGTGGCAACTGATCGTGTGATATTGCTATGTAGATGTTATATTTAACATATGACGTTATTTTCAATATGTTGTTTTCATATGCACGTCAGTTCATGGTTTCATGTGATGTTTATGGTTGATATCATGTGCACGTCATAATCTAACTTTCAAGGACCTCTGGGCAGCATCGGCGCGAGCGCAAGCGCGTGCCGGACCCCATCCGGGAGTGCAAATCGGCGGCTTTGCCTGCGCGCGTTCAGAGCGCACTGGATCCGAAGAAAAAATTGCCCGTGTTTGGCGAGTCTTGCGCGCGATCAATTGGCCGGGCGCGTGGCTTTTAGCGGACCTACTTTCAAAATAGCTCCACTCTGCCATGGGGGGACTGCCCGGAGCAGGGCGTCGCCGCGAACGCCTTCTAACGCGCGCGCAGAGACAGCGGCGACCTTGCGCGCGCAGGCGACAACTTGGAACGCCGAAACCATTCGTCGTGCTCGGCGGCTGGCCGATCTGCAACCGCCCGCGCGCCAGGTTCTAGAGAAGTGCGAGAGGGGGGCGACCGAGGGCCACGCGACGCGGCGCCCTCTGCGCGACCCTTGCGCCCCAACCCCTCGCCCCCCCCCCCCCCCCCCCCCCCCCCTGACGACGAGGGCTGGAAGGCAGATAATGCGCGAAAGGTCGCTGCACAGATGACTTCACGTCGTCTCGCACACGCGCAGCCGCGTCTGCGGGCGAGGAGGTTCGTCGCGACATTCTGGGCCAGTTCGTCGCCGCCTTGCGCGTCGCGCTCCTTGCGGGCGGCGGCAGGGCCTCGCTTCGCCAGGGAGATTTCGCCCGCGCTTGTAAGGCGCCGCCACTGGCCAGTTCCCACCTGCAGCTCGCAGTGGCGACTTGGAATTCGGCCGCGGCGCGGCGCTCGGCCAGGGCATCCAGGAGCTGGGGTCGGTAGCATCAGTGTACAATCGGGGGCGTTTTGCAGCGGCTGCTCGGGCGGCCCTTGCAGGGCTTTTCCACGTTATGTTCCCGCGCTACGCGGGCGATCTGTTCGCGTCGGACCCTCCGTCGCCGGGGGCGCCTTTCTTCGCGACCTCTGCTGGCGCCGCGGAGGTGGCGCGAGAGGTCGCGACCGCGCTGCCTGACTTTGAGCTCGACGATGCCAGGCGCGCGCCCGATACTCCGTCTGCCCGCGCGCTCGGGGCCAGGGCGTTGGTCGACCAAGTGAATGGCGCAGTGCGGCTTGGGATCGGCGCGACGAGATTGGAGCGCCGGAAACAGGAACTCCGCCACGCTCTGTCGCGCGGCGCGCTGCAACCCGCCAGCGCGAAGAAGCTAGCCGGGCGGCTCAGCCGGGGCACCAGCGCAGTTTTCGGCACAGCTGCGCGCGCGCACTTGGCGCCATTGCTTAGGCTGCGCATCTGGCAAATCAGCGCAGCTGACTGGTCGGGCGCGCAAGTCCCTCCAGTGGTGGCTGCGGTTTTTGGATGTCGTTCCTCAGCGCGCGGCGCATGCCGCAAGGCCAGTCGCGCGGCTTCGCTGCGTTGCTTATTCCGACGCGACGGGCAATAGCAACGCGGCGCGGGTCAGTTGCCTTCCCGGTCGGCGTTGCCGGGCGAGTCCTGCCATTCCCAAAGCAGTTTCGCAGCGGGCGCGGTTCCGCAATAACCAGGTTGTCACTTGGGAGTCATTGGCAGCCACGTGCGCACTGCATTGGTTTCTCGAGCAGGATCTGGGCGAGCTGGAAGTCGTCCTCTGCGTGGATAGCCAGACTGCTCTTAGCGCCCTGCTCCGCGGGTCTTCCAGGCAGTCTGATTGGAACGACCTCGTCGGGGATCTGGCTGCGAGTCGCCCGCGCCGGCATGCTGTTTTGCAGTTATTACGCGCCGAGCCATTTGAATTTGGCAGACGCGCCGACGCGGCCCCAAGAGAAAGCTGCGGCGCTGGAGTCGCCGCAGACCGCAGGGTTCGCCCACGCGCCGCGGTGCTCGCCGCCGGACGCCCCATGGCCTCAATGAGAGTTGCGTTGCCCCGAATGGAAAATAAGTTTCATCGTCCAATCGTCTGCGGGCCATGGTCTGCTTCCAGATTGGCGATTCGCCCGCGAAAGTTTGCGCGGCTCCTATGCTCAGATTGCCCATTCGAGCGTTTCGGTGCCCAGGTGGCCAACTTGGGCTTTGGTGCCTGGATTGCCGATTCGGCCGCTCTGATGCCCAAAATGTTGGCGGCTTGGCCCTCTGATTGCTGATCCTGGCGATCGGGCGCCTTCGGTGCTGAGATTGCCGATTCGCTTCCGGGCCCAGGTTGCCGATTTGGGGTTGCTCGGGGCCTCAACTGCCGATTTCATCGATCCACTGCCCAGGTTGCGGATTTGGGCGTTTTGGTGTCCTGATCGCCGGTTTGACCATTTCTGGCGCTTCGGCGCGCAAATTGCCGATTCGGTCGCTTTGGCGCTCGGTTTGCCGGCGCCCACATTGCCGAGTCAGGCGCTTTGGCGCCCGGGATGCGGATTCGGCCGCTTCGTTGCTCAGATTGCCGCTTCGAGCGCTTCTTCGCTGGCCAGGAATGCGCAGCGGCTCAGGTCGCCGATCTGCGCCGTTGCCGCCGTCTGCTCAGCTGCACATCCCGTTGCCTCCGCAGCCTGGTCGGCTGAGATGCTCAATCTGATTGCTGAGAGCCACGCCCGGGCAGCAGCGTCGGCCCAGCCCCGCGCCGAAGCTCATCCTGGGGCGCGCCCTGACCGTCCGCGCTCGCCGCGCGCAGCGGCCGACTTGATCCGCCAAGCTGCGAGAGCGCACCCCCCAGGGCCTTCACCGGGCGTGCTGCGCGGCCAACTGGGCGCCCTCGAGGTTGCAGATCCTCTGGATTTCGCCGGCTTAGGAACAGAGAATTGTTATCTTGTCTGGGCGCCGTTGGCGCGCTGCTCTCCCGCTGTCGCGGCGAGATTCCTGGAATTGCGCCGAAACTGACGCGGCAGAGCCAAGCTGCAGACGCCAGCTCCGTTGCCGCTGCGACGCGCAGGCGGCCGCCCCATCCGCAAGTCCAGCCGGCAGAACCAAGCAGTTCTTCGGGTACCACAGATAGGGGCGCGGCGGCCTTGGCGACGGTGGATATGGCCAGGAGGGGGCAGACACCCGTGCCTCCGCACGTCCTTGCGAACGCTCTCCGCGACATGGGTCGACTGCCGACTTCCCCTTTTCGGAGAAGCGAGGGCCGGCCCACGGGCTGCTGACGGGCGAGCCCGGACAGGCAGCGCCACGGCGGACGCCTGCGAAATCCGAGCTGCCTGGATTTAGTTCGCCAGATGGAGGCGCAGCGCAGCACGGCGCGCCAGCGCGGTGCAGTTTTGGGGCAAGGCTGCGGCGCTCGACGGCGCACCGCCCTGGCCGCCCTGGCGCGCTCTTCAGTAGCAGCGCGTCGCTGGGGCGCCATTGCTCACGCGCCCGCCCCGCGCCGGCGCTCTTCCGCGCCCCGGCGGGCGAGCTGGCAGACGCAGCCCGGCCGGTGCGAGGGGCGGAGAAGGCGGCGGCCAGTCGGCCCCGCCCGCGCGCCCGAGCGTCGACAACGCAGACCAGGGCGCTGATCTGCTGGGCGTCTGGCGCGGGGCGGCCTGATCCGGCTTTGTCCTGGGCGGCGACGAGACACTTCTGTTCGCGATACTCCGAGGTCCGAGGCGTCATTTCCGGGGCCGGCTGCCGCCCCATGCCGCTTTGCACGGAATGGCACTGATGGCGTTTCAACGCTCACGCGCAGGAAATGCTACAACATCCCAGTGGATGTTTCACGGAGGTGTTCGCGCGAAGACGGGGCTCCTCGGAGCCATTTGTACGCACCCGGCATGCAGAAGCGCCGGGCTTTCTCGAGGCCAGGGCCGCGGCGCTCGCCCCCCCCCCCCCCCCCCCCAGGCGCAGCATTGGGGGGCGCGCGCGTCCCGGCGAGGATTTGCAGATGATGCGCTACGTTCTGGTGGGCCTTCTGCGCTATTCTGGTCCAGGGGCCAGGGGGGCTCGCTGCCTTCGGCTACGCGACGGCCCAGTCCAGGGGCGAGGTCACGGCCGCGCAGTGGCTGGCAAAGTATTCCGGTTCGCGTGGCGACGAGGATATCTAGCGCGCTCGGACGCAGCGGGCGTTTGGAAAAAAAGTTGTCCGAGCACGTCCGCGCGCATCTCGCGCCTGCTCGGTGTTCCCGCCGTTTCTGCTCGCAGGTTGCGTTGGCGACGTGGCCCACCCTGGATGCATTGGGCCCCGTTGGGGATTCCATTGTGGGCCAGCCCGGCGGCGCCAATGTTCCGTTCGCCCATAGACGGCGCGGGAACGCCGCCCGATGTCGGCCAGAACGGCCGGCCCGAAGAGATTTTCATAGCCCGCATTCCGCGTGGCGGTCTGCGGGGCAGGAAAATCTCAGGGCGGGCCCTTGTGGGCCTCTTGGTTTTCGCCCCTCTCCGCTTCTGCGCAAAGACAGGGGAATCCTCGCGGCCTGGTCGCTGCTGGATGGCAGGCGGTCCTCTTCCTCCGTCCTCGCTGCTCGGGTGCTCGGCTGTCTTGGTGGTTGATTGGCGGCCTCCCTGTGCCACGGGTGCCTTGGCGCTCTGGATGATTGGCCGCGCTTATGGTTGCTGTCGCTAGCTTGGCTGAGTGGCTAGGTTGGTTGATTCCGGAGGCCATCGAGGCGGCGGCGCCCCCAAGAGGGCCAAGCCGTGGCACTCGCGGGTTGGCGTTCGTGGGTTGGCCGCTCGGCTGCGCAGGGTTCGCGGGCGGAGTGCCAGCTTCGGCTTGTAACCCACCCGCTGCCTCCCTTGGTTGGCGCTCATTCGTGGCGGTGGCGGTGTTCCGGCCAGGCGGGCCACTCGGGAATTCCAGCGTGGGCCAGCATGGCGGCGCCAATGTTCCGTTCGCCCATAGACGGCGCGGGAACGCCGCCCGATGTCGGCCAGAACGGCCAGCCCGAGGAGATTGCTCCTCGCCCCTTTTGCCTCGATCACACTTGCCCCTCTCCCGCCCGCCCAAAACCTCACCCATCTCCAATTCCCCACTCGCACATCCGATCCTCCATCGCTTCATGCACCCTCTCCTTCTCCACTCATCTGGTGGTCAATGAACAATCGGCATCCCTCCTCTTCCCGTCTGGTGAGAGGATGAGGAGTCATGGGGAGGACGCGAGAAGGGAGGAGGGCAGGGTGAAGGGGGAGAAAGTGTAAGTGAGTAGAACAACGGAATAGAGGAGAGAAGGGCAAAATGAGGGGAGAAGTGAACGGGAGTGGAAGAGAAACCCTTCTCCGCTCTCGGGCATCGGGCCGACAAAGGCGCGGGCCTGATGGTCATTGCGCACGCTTTGGGATGGCGTTTGACAGCAGTCTGAGAGGCTGGAAAGAAGGAGGGGCAGGTCGGAGCAGGAAAAAGGGCACCTGGAGCATTAGGGAGGAGGAGAGGGGGTGGACAGGCAGGAGGCGGAGGAGGATGGTGAGAGGGAGAAGCAAGGCGAGGGGGGCGAGGGGGGGATGGATGAGGACGAAGCGAGAGGTAGAAGGGAGAGAAGGAGGATGAGCAGGAGGGGGGAGGAAGGGGGAGAGGGAAGAGGGGCAGGATGAGAAGGTGGAGGAGCTCGGGGAGAGAGGGAGGCACGAGCAGGAGGGCGCCCTCGCGGCGCCGCAGGGCGAGCAGCGCCCGGACGACGAGGACCGGTGGCAGAGCTTGAAGGCCGCCGCCCGTCGCGGGGGGTTCGGCCATCCGCGTCGCCGCCGAAAGGCGAGGACCGAGGTTCGAGGATCGATCGATACCTTTGGGCGTCTCTGGGTGGGGGGGGGCTTCTGGGTGGGGGGCCTCCGGGGCTTCTGGAGGCCTTCCTTCGAAGGCCGCCAGGGTTCCACGGACAGTTCCGGAGGCGGAGGACGCCGCCATTCGTTGTCGAGGGTGGCCAGCCGCGTCGTCTTCGCTCCGGAGCGTTCTGGCGAGAACGACCCTCCATTCTTCTGTGCAGAAAGTGCTCGACCCGAGTGATCTGTCATTTCAGACAAAGGAGCCAGCGCGCCGAAGACGCCGAGGCAGACACACGACAGGTTGGGCGAAGGATGTCTTTGAGGATGCGCTGACAGCAGCCAGCGGTGCCGAGAGGTCGAATTCGTTGTTTGGCCACATGCCGCAGAGTGAATGGGAAGCCGTTGTGAAAGCGTTGTGCCACGATGGCAGTCCCACGTTTCAAGAATAACGTGCCGCTTGGTGCACGCAGTTCTTTGTTTGTCAGAGGTTAGTGAGCTGTGGGAGGTGTCTGGCTGACGAGGAGGCGTTGACCCGAAGGGAGATGGATTGAGGACAAGAGAGGGAGGGAGGAAAGCCGATGAAGGAGGGGAGGGATGGGAGTATGGTGAGAGATGGGAGGATTGAAGAAGGGGTGGTCGAGGGAGGCGGGGGGGGTCGAGGGAATGAGCGAGTTTGTGGGTTGGGGGGGGGGATGGCGAGGCTACGAGGGGGGGAAGGATAGGAGGGAGATAGGAGGGAGGAACTAGCCGGGGGTTTGAACTGGGGCTCCGGAAGAGGCGGGCGAAAAGCCTGGTCACCCAAAGAGGATAACCACGCTTCGCGCGTCACCGCTGGGGCTGCTTTGCTGTTCTTCTCGAGGGGTGTCCGGGCGAGGGCGCAAAGATGATTGCGCATCGCGCGTCGCGACGCAGGACATGACGTCGGTGACCCAGGCTTGGAGAGATTTGGGACAGGGGGGTACGAAATCTATTCGCGCAGCGTGTCTCGGACCCGCCGCCCATCCCGTTTCTCGACACACGGTCGTTCCTGACGCGCCGGGTGGCGCCAGGAAAACCAGCGGGTGCAGCTGATTCGTTCGTTTGCCCCCTTTTGATATCCCCCGTGTTCGTCCGACCCAAGACTGGAAGTGGCGCTTCGGTCGGGCGTCGGCGACAGCGCCTTGCACCCGATTTCGATGAAAAAGAGCGGCCGCACTCTCGTTCCTCCGACGTATCTCTCCCGCAAAGGCCGTGTACTTTGCATTCAACCTGGCCTTGACGGCCGCGGGGACGATCTCGAACGTGCTCGCTTGCGGCCAGGACTGGGTGGGGAGGGTCAGCCAACGCTCTCCACGGGAAGGGCGGGGGGGGGAAGTGGAGTGTTCCGCATCCACCTTCCTCACCCGAATCCCGTGCGGGCGCAGCGCGTGCGAGTGGTAGGGAGGAGGAGAAGGAGGACGAGGAGGAGAAGGCAAGAGGGAACTGGGGAACCACCAAGCCCGCTGCACCCTCTCCCCCACCCATCTTCTTCCCCCCCTCCCAACCTCTTCGCCTTTCCTCCTTCGTCCATGCGCCCCCCCTGAATATCTCGCAATCCTCCGGCACTCTCCGACAACATTGAGACGCTTGCAGGGCAATTTTACATTTCACAAAATCATCCGATTAATCCTCGTCTTGTTCCCTCGTCCCTCTCGCTCCCCCACCCCCTCATCCTCCCTCTCAGCTCGGCTCGAAGCCTCACAGGGGCGAGCACCCCTGATAACGAGGCCTGCGTGCAGCATACATGTGCAACTTGGCGCTTGGACAGCAGGCACTCCATGTAAAGCATCGGCACATGATTCGCTCATGTGTGTGTTGCCAATCGCGCACGTTTCCTCTGTGCTGTTGGTTTGTTTGCCCCAGCTCTCATCAACACAATCGTTCACGATACATGAGCCGCCTCGGCATTGTTTTTCCACACGCAGCAGATGGCTCGTTTATTGTCCGAACATGCGCTTCCACTCCGGATACCAACTGCTGTGAACTCAGAATCAACACGTGCTCGACGGTGTTGCTAGTTCTTCTCAGTAGTTTCGTTTGATGTCGTATGATAGTATCTTCCACATGCACGCTATGCACATCACCCATTCTCGGTATCCACGCGGACGTGTGTGTGTTGTGCGTATGTGAACACCCGCCAGAAGGTCAAAGACGAATGTTGCAGGGCGACGTCAGGTCGGCCAGTATACAGTCAGCAAACGCAGTGTATTGCATCAGTCTTGAATGCACGGGTGCGACGAGCTTGAGTGCACAACGTTCGCGGCCTTTCGGCCTTCGTGTCGATGCGACTTTGGCGCACACCGCCGTGAACCGTCGTTTCACCGAGCCGCTTTCCTCAGTCATATTGCGCTCATCTGAGAGCTTGAGCCTGCTTGGCAGAGATATGTTCACCAGCTTCGTAAGGTGGCCATCGGGTGTTCGCTCTTGTGAGTCTTGCTATGCTGTGTTGTATTGTGTGTCCTCTCTGTTCCTCCCTTCACTTCGCTCCGTTCCCGCTTTCCCTCCTCATTCCCCCTCCTCGTCCCTATTCCTGCCTTCTGTTCATCCTCCCTCATTTGCACTCCTCATGGTCCCCCTGGCATCCCTCTCTCCCCTCCTCTCTCTCGCTTGCATGCACGCGTCCTCCCCCTCTCCTCCGTTCCTCCTCCCTCCCGACGCATGCACGTGCAACGCGAGAGCCCCATGCTTCAAAGCCCGTCTCCTTCCTCCCGGAACGCTTCCCCGCGGCGGGGCGCGGCACAGCGCGGCCCGAAGGCGCCGGTGGCCGTGGTCTTCCCGCTGTCGGTCGCCGCAGGCCGCTGGGGCCGCCGCGGCCCGCGTCGGGTTCGGATGGCCTTGCGGCCCAAGCGTCCCCGGAGGCAGGGAGCCAGAGACCCTCCTCCTCCCCCTCCTCCTCCTCCTCCTCCTCCTCCTCCTCCTCCTCCTCCTCCTCCTCTTCCTCATCCTTCTCACCCTCCTCCTTCTCCTCCTCCTCCTCCTCCTCTTCCTCATCCTTCTCACCCTCCCTCCTCCCTCCTGTCGGCGGCGAGCGAGGGGGGGAAGTGAGACGGAGAAGACCTTCTCAGAAGACGTGGAGGCCTGCGGAGGTGCCGGATCAGTCGGGAGGGATTGTAAGGGGGGTCAGCGTGAAGGGGTGTCCGCTGGTCCCATATGTCTGACCTGGGTTGGGAGCCGTTTGGCGGCCGCCCCCAAGATCGGCTCTTGACAGTCCGGAAGCTTGGGGAGAGCTTGGAAAGAACGAAGCGCTTCCAGCGCCTGTTTTCTGAACGTTGAGTTTTCAGAAGTGTTCGCATGATGTTGGTGGGCTTCGAATGATCGTCCACAGGTTCATGCCGGCTCCCGAAGATTCCATAGGTTCTGGATGTGTTCGGCGTGTCTTCAAACTCTCGGAAGCTACTTCTCCCGCACTCCATTTCCGCTTCCTCTGCCCCCTCCCGTTCCTCTCCCCCCACTTTCCCTCCCTCCTGAGTAGGAGTCGCGGCAGCAGCAGCAGCAGCAGCAGCAGCAACAGCAGATCAGGGGGAGGCGAGCAGCAAGATGATGTGCGTCTCCGATTTAGGTGGATATTCGCCGGCGCCTGCCTGAGGAAGAAAAGCCGCCACGATCCCCGTAGTCACGAAGCCTTCCGGGCGCGTTTACTGGAGGGCCTTGGATGTAGGGGTGCTCGTTGCGCGGGTGGACCTCCCGCACTCCCGTCTGGGCCCACGGTGGGCCAGTCGAGGTGCGGCGGGCGCGGGGCTCCTTGACAAGACAGGAATTCGGGAGAGTGCGCGGCATGCAACCTCCAGGATTATGGTTTTGAGCCTTTCTCCCATCTCGCCCACCACCTCCCCCCATGGGCCCGCGGCCTCGGCGGCCCGGGGGGCTGCGAGCCGGGCCCGTCTTGAGTCTCGCGCACCAGCGCCATGAGGCGCACGCGCTCATGGCGAATATGCAAATGTTCCGCAGGCGTGCGATTTGGTGGAAAGTAATCCGAGACAGCCGTAGACGTTTCCTCCGAGGAACGAGCCCGAAGCCTCAAGTGACGCCCGATGGCAAAATATGTGGTTCGTCAGATTGCTTCGGCGCCAGACGAGTTCTCCTGCGCTGCGTCGCTCCACTTAAGGCGCTCATGGTGGCATTGCTCAGGCCTTCGAAGTCGCGGCAGTTGGCCAGGCCAGAGTCGCGCACTGCGTCGGCGGCGACAGCGCGGGCGCGCCGCCATCTACATCAATCGGGTTTTCCAGCGATGAGGTCACCAGCGCGCCAGTTGAGCCCGCGAGGACTGGTCTCCAATGTGGCCTCTAGCTTGTTGCGGCCCCAGATTGGGGCCAGCCCCCATCGCTTGCCAATGTTTGGCAGATGCCGCATCAATCAATGGGCGGCTGGTATCGCTCATGGACAGGTAGCGCCACGCACGGATCGCGAAGTTGCACATCACGCATGCGGTGCGCCATCAGGCTAGGCCGACGCGCGCGGCCACGTTATGGCGCGTCAAAGGATGCGCGCGCAATCTTTGCGATGATTTGCAGATTTTGTCGCCGGAGACTCCTGCGCTGAGTCAACTTGGTCCGCCCGCCAAGCCACGTGATTCAGCGGGGGCGTGGCTTGGTCGTGGCCTATGCGGGCGACGCAGGCCGCGCGTCTGGCACGCCCCCGCAGCGACCGGGGCGCGCGGCGCGCCGCCGCCCCCAAGCGCCCCTTGGTCGCCTCTCAACGGTGCCCCCGAACCCCCCCGTAGATCAGACGCGCGTCGGGCCCCGCGTCAAGGCGGCCTCGCTCGACGAAGCGTCGGCGAGAGACGCGCGGGCCGCGGCGGCGAGAACCGCAATGGTCGTCGGGGAGATCTCGAGGCAGCAGCGTCGGGGCTAGGGCGTCGGTCTCGCAGGGGCCCAGGAAGCGCGCAACCCCGAAGGTGCAAGGGCCCCCCCTGGGGCGTTGCAGCTCGGCGCCTGGGGCTCTGAAGGACACGCGCTCGGGGGCGGAGTTCCGGGCGGCGCCGGGCCGGGCGCGCGGGGTCGATGGGGGGCGCCAAGCTGCGCGTCCAAAAGAAGCACGTCACGCGCGCGCGCCAGCCCCTAGATACTTCATCGCGAAGTGCAGCGCGCCCGAGGACACACACGCACGCATGCGCGCATGCGCGCCTTACACGATGGCGGCGAGGGCTCTGATCGGCAGAGGGATAGGCGGGGAAAGAGTTGCATCATCGCACGCATTAGATCCCTCTCAGTGATGCCAGCGCGAGATTTGGCGAGGACCTTTCATTAGCAGTTGGAACAGTTGGACGCAGGCACGGTGGTGATTAGGAAGGAGATGCGACGCGCCCACCTCCTGGCGGCGCAGCTCTGCGCGGCCAGCGCGACGCGCCAATCTCGATCAGACGGAGCCAATCTGGGCGGCCCCCAGGATTAGGAAGCATCGCGTGATTGATCAAGCAGCTTCGTCGGAGGACTGGCAGTCACTGTTGTCCGAACGCCGCCGTGCACGATCTAGACACTAACGCGCGCGCCCACGACAGTCGGCCCGCGGTTGCGAAGCTCAGATCGACGGGCACAGCTAGGAGATGCGTTCAACGGCTCAGGCGCGACAAGGAGGCCTTCCAAGACCCTGGCCAGGCGACCCCCTTTCAGGAAGCGCCTCGGCAAAGTGAGACAAGCTGTCCGCGCGCGGAGCATGCGCGACGCCGCGCGCGCGCACGGGCCGGGTGCCGTTTTGCTATCGGCGGGCCGGCGCGATAGGCCGGGTGATATTGATTGGGATATTCAGGTTTCTGGGCGCGCAGAGGCGATGGGAGGGGCCGCGACCCCAGGCGCCGTCTGGGAAAGGGTGGACAGGCGGCTGGCGGGCAAGGATTGCACGGAGAGCACGAGGGAGGTCCTCCGTAGATTGCCCGAGGCCTCCAAGGACCAGTTGCTCGAGGATTTCGTCGAGCAGCTGAGCTCTGCCACGCGGGCAGGTCTGGCCCAGGTGGGCTGGGCGGCACTGCGCAAGCACGGAGAATTTGAGGGCAGAAGAACAAATTAGCGCCATCGGGACTTGAAGGTTCGCTTTGACCAGCGCGGCAGCATTATCGAGAATACATATCACTTAGCGTCAGCGCTCACACAATACGCGGCTGGACGGGAGGAAAGAGGCGTTTTGGATCGGGGGCAAGAGCCAACGGGCGCAACAGAGAAAACGGACGAAGAAAACCGACGGGGAAAACCGATTGGGGGCAATAACCAACAGGCGCAACACATAATCTGATCACGAGGCGGAGAAAACGAACAGCGGCACGTTGATGACATGCCGCGAATTGTTGCACCATATCAAGACGCTCGTCGCAAATGAGGCCACTGGGCCCGACGGCATTTTCACTGGCGCGCCCCAGGGTGCCAGACAGAAGTGCGCCGCCATATTGATTCCGAATTTGGCCCCTCGTTAACCGGCTGGATTTAAAGATTGCCAGCGGGTGGGCCCGTTCAGACCCGGGCCGCGCGGGCCCATCGCCAATTGCAGAGGCATCATGTTCGGCGCCCACTCGGCAGAAACACATCATTGGTTTCTGGGGCAGAGGCTCGCGGGATCAACGACCAACTAGTTTGTTTCATCAATGGCTGCTAGACGAGAGGGCGGGAATGGGGAGAAACTGACCTCGCGACGCCGATGGCTGGCACGGCAGCAGCATTAACAAGAATGACAGGCATGACACTGTTGATTCTTTTCGCTGGCCCACGGTGAACCTCTTATGATGCTGCCAAGGGCTTTGTGGCAAGACTGGCCCAAAGCGATCGAGAACTTGAGTCCGCGCTGGGCGCGCCAGAGATCCCCCGGGCGATCCAGCCCCATGCGCGCGTAGCTCGCTGTCAAACTTGGAGTTTTGAATAGGATCGAAAACGACTGCGCGCCACAGAGCGCCCAGCGGCTTCTAGAGCCGGCGACGCGCGCGGGGAATCTCCGGGCCCGCGCGCGACATTTGGTCGAGGTGGCCCCTAAGGCACAAGCACATGATGGCGAGTGCCGCGACGATCCTAAACTTTCCGACATGGAGCCCGTCGGGGAGCACAACTGCGACGTCCGTTTTGGCCCGTTTGGGGCCCCGGTCTGCGATGAGCGGGAGGAGCTCAGTCCCGGCGTGCTCGTCGTCAGGCTGAAACCTCCCGGCGGCGGCCCCCATCGCGCGCAGCGGGGGCCATGGTAGAGGCCACTCGGCGCCGAATGGTGGCCCGCTCGGGCTCCGCGAGAGTCTCTGAGTCGCGGGCGCGAGAGGAGGCCCGACCTAAACGCTCCATTCTTCTGAGGCCATCCTGTCCAGGAACGCCCCATCCTTCGGTTTCTCGACGTCGGCCTCCTGGCGGAGCCCCGCAGTCTCCGATGGGTGGCCCGCTGGGCGGGGGGGGGAAGGCGATGTCGGAGGAGTAGGCCGCGTGCTCGGTCTCGCACTTCCCCGGGCTGCACTATCCCCCGTCGCGCCCTGCACTTGAAACCACGCCGAATTAATCGAGCCCGCTGTGGACTGCAGGAAATGTTCGATAATGGCCACATGTTAAGTGAAGGTAAGCTCGCATATGCACATGAGCTTTGCACGCGGCGCGCTTCGCATCACTGCGCGGCGCGGCCTCGGAAAAAGGGCCAAGCGGGAGACGCGGCTCGAGAATTATTCCTTCGCGAAGTTCCGCGAGGTCATGGGTCTGAGGTTCGGCGGATCGGCCATGCAAAATTTGCGGGCCACAGCGTGCTCGGGCGCGTCGGGCCGGCGCTGGCGCAACCCCCCACCAGGATGCGCATGACCAGATTGGCGCCGGGAATCCCGGCAGCGCAGCCCATAATCGCGCGCCTTGCTTTTCCGGGTGAAGTTGTATGTTATTTAGATGGTAATTCGACCAACGCGCTGGTTGACGACTTTCACAGGCTAGCTGACCACGTCAAACCGTCAGGAGAGTTCAAGCCGACCGGGCCGCCCGGGCGGCGGCTCGCACTAGTCGGGGGACGCGGCGCCAGATTTGAGGAGTGGTTCTTCTGCGGGCGCGCAAAGGGAGCCAGCATGCACATGCGCGACGAGGCGCGCGATGGTCGCGCCCTCACTGGGCAGCCCCCGCCTCGATCCGCCCCCCCCCCGGCCGGCCGCGTCGCAGGCGCGGCGCGACGACGCGGCCTGCGCCGCGTGCGGGCCGAGGCGCGCCCCAGCCTGGGCCCCGCGCGCGGGCGCGCCCTTGGCTCGCAGCGCCAGGCTTGTCGCTTGCAGTTCCACCAAAAAGCTGCGCCCCCCGAAGCACTCGAGGCGCGGCCCGCGCGCGCGCCGAGCGAACGCAGCGGCGCAGCTAAGAACGCAGATGCAGAGCTGTCGAGGGTGATGCGGCGGCATGGACGGGCATTAGTTGGAGAAGGCCACACGCCCCCCTCGCTGCCTTTCGTCGGGCCTGGCTTGAAAAAAAACTGCGACATCTCGGTGCTTGCCGTTGTCCGTCGAGAGCGCCAGGCGCGCCCCGGCGGCCGCGGGCGCCCCTCCGCCCCCCCCCCCAAAAAAAAAAAAATGAATCTACGCGCGCTCACGCGCGCACGCGCGCGCGCACGCACACGCGCGCCCGCGCGCGCGCCCACGCGCACAAACGCACGCACGCACCCACACACACACACACACACACACGCACGCACGCACACACGCACGCACGCACGCACGCACGCACGCACGCACGCACGCACACACACACACACACACACACACACACACACACACACACACACACACACACACGCACGCACGCACGCACGCACGCACGCACGCACGCACACATCACCCCCACGCGCGCCAGCCGCCCGCTCGCCCGCCGACCCACCCGCCACCATCACCACCGCCACCATTGACACCGCCACCACCACGCTGAGCATAGTTCTGTCAGGCACTTGCTGGACACGTGTTCGGCGCCAAGAGGCCCTTTGGATATCCCAGCGGTGGATCGAGGAGCTTGGATTGTGGACCAGCGCCCGCGTTTGCGCGCTCTGCGTGTCCATCGTTCAGCGCGCGACGCAATGGAGGGTTGTCGGAGTTGAAACCCGACCTGCGGGCGAGACCACCCCCTCCTCCGACGCCAAGCTTCTGCCCAGCCAGGTCGCGGGGCGCTGCGCGAGGCCGCGGGGCGCCGCGCGCCCCTCCAGAAGGTCGCCGAGGCAACTCGCGAAGCGATCGCAGAGCTTAGAGTTGATTTTTCGTCGGCGTCTTGGGCGAGAGGGTTGGGCGCCCCTTTTTGCCGTGGTCATGCGGGCCCGCCCCAGGTCGCGCATCGTCCGTGCCTTTCGTTTCCTCCCCAGGCCCGGTGGTTCGACGGGCGCGCAGCAATTGCGAAACTTGCACATATCGGCGCGCAGGAGGGGGGGGCGTGGGCCCGTCCAGATTGGCGTGCGGCTTGTTGCCCAGTGCCAGAGGCTCACTCGCACGTTGTTTGAGTTGCGCCGAGTTGTCGCAGTTTTGGGCTGAGGCTTTTGGGGTTCGCGAGGTGCTGGAAGGACTTGCCGAGCGCCCGAGAGCGCGCGGTCCCACCTGCACACGCGACTGGGCCCACGCAGAGGGTCGGAGGGGCCCTGCCGCACCTCGCGGCCCTGCAGTCGCGCCGCGCCTGACTCTCTGCCATCCGCCCGCCTGTGTTTCTTCTTGTTTTCTCGCATGCATGGCGCCGATGTGTATGGCGCGGTCATTTCGTCTGTCAGGGGGGTCCGTAGGGGGAAGAGGAGGGGGAAGAGGGGAGGATGAGACATGAAAGAGGCCTCTCGATGGCTTCTTGGTGCATGTGGGGCCAACGCTTCTTTGGTGGGCTTCTTGGGGTCATTGGAAGGCCTCTCGGGGGCCACTTGGTTGTATTTTCGTGTCCTCCTGGGGCCTGATGGGAGCCTCTTGGGGCCTCTTAGGGGCCACATGGTGGTCCTGGACCAAATGCTGCTTTGGAGGGTTTCTCGGGGCCCTTGGGGGACCTCTCGGGGGCCTCTTGGCGGCATGTTTGAGGCCTCCTGGGGCCTCGCAGGGGCCGCAGGGAACGTCTTGAGAGTCTATTGGGGGCCTCTTGGGGGCCATTTTGGTGTTTGTTGGGGCTCCGGGGGCGGGGGGCGGGTGCTCGAACTATCCGCTCGGGTTCCCCATCTGGACCACGTGTAAAGGCCGCCCTGGGTGGCCTTTTGGGCTGTTTTGGCGCCCCCTTTGGCAGGTCCGGGGGCCACGTTCAAGACCCATCGGGCCGGTTTGGGACCGTTTTTTGTCGTTTTGGAGCGCCAGGAAGCCGGAAAAACGAGAACGCCCAACATTTGTGGAAAATCTTGGAGGGATCGAGCATTCGTGCCTCTAGGGGCCCTGTGGGGACGTCTCTTGGAGGCTTGCTGGGGCGTCTTAGAGGCGTCTTCGGCCGTCTGGAGGCCATCTTGGGCGTTTTGGACGGATCGGCCAGCGATTCGGAGCCCCCTTGAACCGTCTTGGGGGCCTTTAGGGGTCCTCTTGGAACGTTCTGGGGCGCCTGGGATGCCGCCCCGAGGCGGGAAGTAATCTGATCCGACTTGGCTGGGATGCACCTGGCGTGCTGTTCCTCCAGGGACCCCCAGGGGCAGTTTTGGCGTGCGAACCAGAAATGCGGTTAATTGGCTGCTTGAGATCTTAGTACGCTTCTAACCCGCTGGGCCTGGCAATTATTTGTTTGACTGCGTCGTTTTTCGCCCATGGGAACACAATCCGCTTCCTTCCCAGAAATGGCCCGCGATGCAGCGAGCAGCCCCCAAAGGCGCCGATATCATATTGAACCGTCTGGGACCCCTCTCCTCCTCCTCCTCCTCCTCCTCCTCCTCCTCCTCCTCCTCCTCCTCCTCCTCCTCCTCCTCCTCCTCCTCTTTGACTCTATTCTCGTCCTCCTCCTCTCCCCTCTACCTCGCCCAGCTGATATCGTACTGCATGCTGCTGCCGCAGCTCTCGATCACGAGCCGGAAGCTCGTTGATCATGTGTCCACGTTTGTGGCGCAGCCGTTGCTATTGTTCGTATCGTTCCGGCATGTTCGTCATTATTACGGTGTTGATCCGGGGCGGTGTGGTTTGATCATTTGACCGCGGGTGCAGACGACCGGTTCGTGCGACATCAGGGGCAGGGACCCGCGCCATGACACGAGCAGTTGTTGGTCCTTGTGTTCTGACCCTGATCGCGGGATGCCTGCTAGTGAGGGCCGCCCGTGTCTAGGGCACATTCGCGCACACCGTTTTGGTGTTGACTTGGGCGCCAGATTCCTATAGTCTTGTTGCTGCCCATGTTGCAGACCACTGAGAGGTTCTTCTTGGCAGGGAGCAGGCGTGCCCTTGATGCCACCAACCACAGCGGTTCGGCAACTGTCGTGCCCTTTTTGAGCACGGGCTGAGTTTGACTCGGTAATGTTTTTGCGTTGCCCGGTTTGTAGCGTTGTGTTCGGTCCCGACGTGCCGTCTCGGTCTGTCCTCGTTGGTATGTCCTTTGTTCCTCTTGACCCCATCTTCCGTTCCTGTCGTCCTCCTCCTCCTCCTCTTCCTCCTCCTCCTCCTCTCCTCCTCGTCCTCCTCCTCATCTCCTCCGTGTTCTTGTTCTTCCCCATCCCCCCCTCCTCATCCTTCCTCCCCATCCTCCACCCCTCCTCTTTCTCTCCTTCCTCCTCCCAGGTTTCGTTATGATTCCGCCGCGGCCACAACACACCCCCACCCCGCGCGTTAGGCCGCGGACGGGAGGGCAGCCTCTCCCCTCCCCTCTCCTCCTCCGTCTCCTGCCGTTGCTTCGGAGGCCTCCGGAAACCTTGGGAGAGTCGGCAGGCATCTGGAAGCCTCCGTCGGGGCCCCAGATGCTAGAAACGCTCCAAACGCAGATGCGATCCTCATCTCCCCTCCCCCACCTCCCTTCCTTCCCCCCCTTCTTCCGCGCGCGCGGGGGGGGACGGGGAGAGGGATGAGGAGGATCAATGGCGGGATGTGGAGGGGCATTAGAACCAGAACTAGGATTAAGACTAGAATGTGGACTAGGACTAGGATGTGGAGGAGGAGGGAAAGGGAGGAGGCGGGAGGGGGAAGAGGAGTAGGCCTCCCTTAGAGCAGCGCACGATGTCATGCTGCGATTCCCAGAGTGTTCCTGTTACTCTGCGCGCGACCTCCAGAGATGTGGGCCCACAGATGCTCCAGAATTCAGGGGACGCATCCTGAACCACATGCACCATGACACAGGGATCGACCTAAATAGTGTTTTTCGTGTTTCGTGTTGTTTTCGTGTACCCTCATGTTGTCTTCAATCCGCCCTTGTCGCAAAAATAAATCGAAACGAGAATGGCCCGCGAGATCGCCAAAACACTGTTCAGGTCGACCCCTGTCACGACATCACGATAGTCTTGCTTCCCCCTCCCCCCTTCCCTCAGGAACGAGGCCTCTCGAGCAACCTCGTCGTCGTCGTCGTCGTCGTCGTCGTCGTCGTCGTCGTCGTCGTCGTCGTCCCCATCCCATCTGTGGGGGGGGGACCGAGGGACCCTGAGACCCATCTTGCTTCCCCTTCCCCCCCCCTTCCCTCGGGAAAGAGAGGCCTCTCAAGCAACCTCGTGCTGCAGCAGTACCTTCGGCTCGCCGAGTACGACAAGAACGCCAGGGTCGCGCGACCAGGGGGGGCCCTCCCAGGATCGAGGAGGATCAAAGAGGGGGATCGAGGAGGATCGAAGTCCGAGGAGGGTCGAGGAGGAGGATGAAGAGGATCGAGGAGGATCGAGGTCCGAGAAGGAGGGTCGAGGTCCGAGGAGGATCGAGGAGGAGGAGGAGGTGGATCCAGCTTTCTGGATGTCTCTTGCGTGCCTGCGCACGCGCCTTGCGAGTTACGGGGGCGCCGATCCCTGAGCGGCGGGATTTCTTCAGTAATGGTATAGCCACACGAATCCTTTTTGTCAGGCCTCCAGCCGCGCATCCAGGCAGAGCTTTCATCCAGATGTCGACGTATACGTATGCCTGTATATCTTTCTAAACAAATCAATAAACAATTAAATCCATACATACACATGCATAGATTCACCGTTGCCCTTCAACACCCTTATCCTACCTTCTTGTCGCCGCTGTCGCGTTCTTTGTCGTTGGTGTTCTCGGCGTCGTCGTCATCATCCTCATCGTTTTGTTGTTCCAACTAGTTCCATTTAGTCGGACTCTTCCGCCCTCCGCGTCCCTCGCTTGCAGCAGGAGGCACATGTCATCCGCCCCCACGCCGTATCGAATGCCGTGGCGACTGTTCTTGCGAGCCTCCTCGTCCTTGTCCGTTGCATCCCCCTCCCCAGATCATTGTCCTTCTCCTTCTCCTCCTCCAGCTCATCCTCCTTCACCTCCCACGGTGTCCGATTCCTGCTGTTGCATGTTGTGTTCGTCCGTGTCGTCATCGTCGTCCTTCTCTTCGTCTCTCGCCGCTTCCCGTCCTCCGTCTCGTGACTTCAGGTGGGCACGTCCATTCTGGTGATAGCGGTCATTTTGATAGCGCGGCTGGGCCCGACGGAGCTGCCTGCCAACGCCGACATGTTGGCGTTGATCTCCACGCCGCAAGCTGGGGTTCTGCGGTCTTTTGAAAGGGGGGGCTCCTTGATGTTCCTACACCCCCCCCTCTCTCCTCTTCTCCATCGTCTGCTCGCCAGCTCTCCTCCTGCTCCTCCTCGCGCCCCCTCATCTTGCCTCACCGCGTCCTCCTCATCCTCCATTCTCCGTCTCCTCCTCACTTCACCCGTTCACCTTCTCCCTCTGCACTGGCAACTGGAAAACACCGAGAGCATCGACGAGCGACAACCGCATGGTCAACACACCGCCGCGGGGCGGACCAGAAGCTGTGATAGGGGCCCCGTCCCTGCCGCCGCCCTCGTCGCGAGGTGCTGCCGGCCCCGCGCACGCGAGGACTTGCATCGGCGCTTGTCCTGGTCATTTTCCTTCCCGAAGGATTGCAAAAAAAACCGAAGGATTGCAAAAAAAAACCCTTGAACGAAGGATTGCAAAAAAAACGAAGGTTTGTTTGCAATCCTTCGTTCATTGTCCTTCCCAATCCTCAGCGTCCCCCCCCCCCTCTTCCCGTCTTCTGCCCGCACCTCTTCCCTCCGTCCCCCTCCCCCAGCACACTGGCCGCGCCTCCGCGTCCCCCGTCCTCTTCCCTCCGTCCCCCCCCCTTCTTCCCGTCTTCTGCCCGCACCTCTTCCCTCCGTCCCCCTCCCCGGCACACTGGCCGCGCCTCCCTCCTCGGAGCAGCCCCCTCGGCCGGCAGAGTGCGCTCTCGTCCTGCCCCGCCCGCCCTCCGCCTGCTCTCGCGGCGGCCCCTGGGCATGGAGGTGGGGGGCCTTGGAGGATTCTGGTTGTCGCACGCCCCCCATTCTCGGGGGAGCGTAAGACCCGGGTTTGCCGGGACTCGGGTTCGCCATCGTTTTTTGACGACCGCGCCTCGGATTTTGACGAGGAGGAGTTTCGTGGGATGTCTGCAGCGGGAGGCCTCGTCAAAATGCAGGCTCGGCCTCGTCATTTTTTTGACGACCTCGTCGGGGATTTCCGAGTCCCCCGTAACCGGGTCTTCCGTCTCCCCGACATTCGCTAGGGGCGTCTAAATCCCCCTCCGGAGGAGAAAACGACGGCCAGAAGCTCAGGAGGCCAGCGAAGCCCGGCACGACCCGAAGAGACGGAAAGAGCAGTGCCAGGACAGAGGGCAGGCAGTGCGAAGACGAGGGAACCACGGCTTGGAGCAGAGGGGCCTTGGAGGCCTTTCGCTGGTTCCGGGCCATCGGGGCCCTTCCCAGGCCCCAGGGCAGTCGACAGAGCGGTTCGGGGAATGGAACGCTGGTGCCTTGGGGTCCAGGACCCGTTTCCACCGGGGCCCCTTGATTTTTGATGCCAGCCTCTTCGTTGCACCTTCTTCGGTCTGCAGGACACTGGTGCGGGGGGCACCTCGCAAACCTCCGCCGATCCGCGTCGCAGCCTTTGGCGGCCTTCAGCGCGCTGCGAGCTGCATATCAAAGGACATGTGTGAGGAATCGCACGTAAGCCTTGACGCACGTCTTCTGGATCATTGGGCCTCGGCCCTGCTCCCCTAACGCCTTACCGACGGAGGTGTTCATCGGCGTCAACTTGGTGGTGATGGCTGGCAGCATGTCCGCCCTGTTTTTCCAGTGGGCGCGCGCCAGGAACAACGCGGTGGAGCTGCTGCTGTTCACGCTGGTGGGCGGCACAGGTCCCCTGAGATGATGACGACGACGACGACGACGACGACGACGACGACGACGACGACGACGACGACGACGACGGCGGCGGCGGCGGCGGCGGCAGCGACGGCGACGGCGATGGCGACGACGACGGCGACGGCGACGACGGTGGCGGTGTCGCTGGAGGTACGGTGCTCAACGCCTCCATCTCCAAGTTGGCGCAGATGCACGTGACTGCGCCCGTCAGGCTATCTTTGCTGGCCGTGTACATGTGGCAGCCTGCGGCCCATCCCGCCACCGTGCCTGGGTCCCAGACCTCGCAGGCTTTGCGAGAGGGTCACGACGAGTGTTTTGTTTCCGGGTTGTTGGTTTCCGGATGCATCCGTTGCCTTCCCAGGTCATGTAACATTCACCCGCGACGAACGGTCTTGGGGATGCGTTCAGGTGAATGGGCTCGCTTCGCTAGCAAAAGACCCGACACATCACGTCGTCGAAGATACGGAAGTGTCGGTCATGGACGTTTTGGAACGAACGTTTGAAAGCCATGTTGCGTTCCTAATGCCGGGCACATACTGGGAGATTATGGTTGAGAATACGGCGGTTTCCAGAGTTATGATTCTACTTGTTTGTGGTCTTGTGGCCATCTTGTTAAGGGGGGAGAAGGCTGGTTCCCAACCAGTTCCCTGGGGATGAGTAGCGGTCCTTTTCGGCCCCCATTTTTGGGTCCTTCTCGAAGCCTTTTTCGGGCCCTTCTTGCAACGCCTCGGGGGTCGTCTAGCGGCGAGTTGGGGCTCCGCTTGGGGCTTTTTGAAAGCTCTCACGCGGCCCAAGAGATCGTCACGAGAGCATGGACATTTGCCTTTGGGTAAGACCGGGGCGCGTCCAGGGCCCCAGTTTCGAATAACTTGTCTGCCGTTCTGAGAAATTCTCGCGGCAGGCCCCCGTCAGGCCAGAAGTCCCCAAGAGCACCTGGAAATCGACGGGCCGCTGGCGGGTTGCCGAGGGCACCATATGGTTGAGAAGTGAATTCGAGTACGCATGATACGAGCCTCACCTCAAGCATGCATGCTGTATGGTCGCGTCAACGTTCGGCTGCTGTCTTCATGGATAGAGAGAGCGAGGGAGATAGAGAGAGAGAGAGAGATTCTGGAGGGTCCACCTAATAACGGCCCTCCGCCACCAACTCCAAGAGCAATGCGTTGACCACTACGATGAGCAGGAATCCGTTGACTATGAAGTGGAAGAGCCCACGCCACCGTTGCACCGAGGGGATAACGACACGGCCGATGCCGTTGAAGCAATGACATAATAACGAGCTATATTGACCTCACCGTCCAGAACCAGACCAGTGCGTGCAAGCCTTCGAAAGGGAGCCACATACAATGCCAGGAAGCCCATACGTAACCACCCATAGCATCACGAAGCTCCCCGAACAAGGAAGATACATTGCAGGACGAGATGAACCGCTCCAGGCACGGGATCGGGATTTTCGCATGCATACCGCAACTACTCTAAGATTCACCAAAACACGATACAGTATTGACACAGCAAAGGTGCGAGACATCGCTCTCACCGCCGTCGGGTATAGACCGGCCACCATGCAATCCTTGGAAAAGTAGGCCCTCTCCGAGGGCAAGTGGCAGTCTGGTCAGTGTCCACGAGACGCTGGGTGCACCTGGCTCCACGTCGGCCACGGAGCCACCCACACCCAGAGAACCAGCGGCTCCCCGATCAGCTGCATGCTGGACGCAGGTAGACTGCGGCCCCCATGCCATGCCGAAGGAACCGAGAAGAGTGCCAGCCTGCGCCGTCGGCACCGTGTCCCAGGCGTTCCCCCCGCAGCCATCCACGACGTTCTTGACCGATGCCAACCTCGGCAACGGGCACGGGCCCGACCTGCTGGGCTGGTTGATAGATGCGTTCCGCCGAAGAGAGCAGCGTGGCCTCACACGCACACAGCGACCCTTCCGCGCCTTGCGGGGGCAGTTTCCAGCAGCAAGGCACGAACACGGCTGCATCGGCGCGCATGTGCGATTCATCGAGCGGCTCGTCGACCAAGGCGGCGCGGTCCAGCGGTTACGATGAGCATCAGCCTCGCGTGCAGCTCCTCGGTGATGTCCACCAGTTGAGCCTGGAGACTGCACACGGCAGCATCTGCGCTCCCGCGAACCAGCCTCGCAGCTGCGGGCCTCTCAGCTCTGCTTCTCCTCGGGCCGCCCGCGCGGCGACCCTTCCGGGAGCCCACATCCACGCCAGCGGCTTCTCAGTTGATGCCACTACAAGACATGATGCCGTGCGGATTTGAGCAACAGGGCTGTCATCCGCGGATGGATGGCGTGAGCAAAAATGTCTTGAGCCAGAACGGCGACGGATAACTCAGATAGAGATAGAGAGATAGAGGGAGGAAGAGGGAGAGGGAGGAACAACACACACACACACACACACTTACACGTGTATATATATATATATATACATATGGATATCCGCGTCGAGTAATTGAGTTTACAGTGTTCTAGAGCGTTCTAGTACTTGAAGACTCACGCTTCAGATGATTAGGGATTTGATTGGACGTTATTTTGAATGTGAGTGCGCAGGACCTTGTACAACGCTTCGCAAGCCTGTCCACCCGATGTATAAGTCTAGCGCGACACACACCAGGCATCTGAGGGTGCTTCACTACGTGCCAGAGGCACGTTTGCGGTTTCTTTTAGCTGTGATCAGCGTCGGCAGTTCCATAAAGGCGAACAGTGAGCTTGAGGATGCGTCGCTGCTCGTCCCTATCAGCAACGGCGTCAATCTGATCCTCAACTGCGTCGCCGGTGCAGGGCCAGAACTCACATCTCCGATGGCGTGTTTTGTTTACTCTCTACGTTGACTCTTTGATTTCGGCTTCCGTGGGTGGGAGGGGGGCATTTCGGGCCCCGGGTCAGTCAATCATGGATTCGGGATGATAAGTCGTTGTGTCCGGCAACGAGGTCGAATTTGTTTCAGCCTTGTGGGCTCAAGAGAAATATCGTCGGGTGTCTGGGGAAACACCTTCCAGCTCCATCCCCAGCATGTCCCGCCAGAAGTGGGGGCGGGGAGGCGGTTCCGGAACGGGTGGCTTTGGATAGTTTCTCTTGGAAATACGGGAATACAAACACATCCCACTCCCGCCAGGTAATGCCCCGCCCCTTGCCCAGAGACCTCCAGAGGTCCTCGGTCTCGAGAGGTCCAGCCGAAAAGACATCACCTTCGATTTTCGAGGCGGACGGGGGGAAACTGAAATTAAGTCGGGCCTGTCCCTCTACAGGAGGAATATTCTAAAATTGTCAAAATATAGTCTGGGGACGATTTTTTGACTATGTTTGCTTATGTGGGGGGCATTTTCTGCGTATTTTATATTTGTCGCCCAAAATCCGTCTGTAGGGGGACATGCCCGACCTAAAATTGGAAGTGATGTTGGGTGGAGGCACCCCTTCTGGCTGCCAGGTTTCTGCGTCTGGGGGGATGCCAGCCGGCTGCGCACGTCGAACTTGATCGACTACATCGTGCTGTAGCGCGGAAGCCTTGCGGCACGACGCGATTATCCCAGCGGCGGGCTTCGCACTCTTGTTTTCGGATGCAACTCCTGGGAGGTCAAATTCTGATTTTGCACTGGTCCGAAGTCCGGCTTAATCCCGCTTCATCCGAGGCCCACTCCAGCGTAACAGCTCCCAAATTGGGCTCAATCCTCCTAATCTTTCCGACGAAAACTTCCCAGTAGTTGCCTCCTAAGTTGTTCGCTCCTTCTTTCCTCGTGCTCTTCGCCACCTCCTCATCGATGAATGCTTGTTTGCTTTGTTCGGGCTTCCAGAGACCCCAATTTCCTCATCCCACCCCTCCCCAGGCCCCCCCCTGAACGGATCGACAGGATCGCACTGCGTCGCCGATGCATCGCGCATGCGGTACGGCCGCATCGCGGTATTCTCGAGATTCGCACCACCAACGCACTAGCGTTGCAGTGCGACGATCTTGAGACCTCATTCCATTTCGGGTCTTTTTGCCGGCGACGCGATGAGAGGGTGTCGGCGCGAGGGAGACGGCCTGCGCCTGTTCGCAAGAAGCCCTCTGTCCTCTTGAGAGGCCCTGCTCCGCAGACCGTCCTCCTGAGGAGAGGAGGGTCCCACGGAGGTGCGGGGGGTGCCTTGGGGGAGAGGTGGCCCGAGGGTGTTCGCCGTTCTCGGCCGCCCAGGGCCCTTCTGCGGGCCGCGGGGCTGCAAGAGGCGGTCCATGGGGGCAGACCCTGGCGTCCCGGGCGCACTTCTCCGGATCCCGCTCCCTCACAGCTCACTGGTGTGGCCAGAGTTGGCGGTGGTCCAAGGTGGTCCCAGCTTGTCCAGGGAGGCCCAGATCCCAGATCGTCTCCAGAACACCCCTCAGGATGCCTGGACGGCACCGTGGGCTCCAAGAAAGCGGGACGAGTTGGGGGGCACTTTGGGCCAGGGACGCCTTCCGTTTTTTGCGGAACCCATGGTATTTGGACCCCCCCTCCTCCTCCTCCTCCTCCTCCTCCTCCTCCTCCTCCTCCTCCTCCTCCTCCTCCTCCTCCTCCTCTCCTCCTCCTCCTCCTCCTCCTCCTCCTCCTCCTCCTCCTCCTCCTCCTCCTCCTCCTCCTCCTCCTCCTCCTCCTCCTCCTCCTTCCGTAACCATTTTGGCTCAAGATGTTTTTGTCCACGGGACCAGAAGTGGACGCCTCCAGTCCGAGGCTAGCTTCCGTTTCAGGCAACTCCAGTCGAGCTGCGCGCTGCTGGGGCCAAGAGTCTGTCTTCTCCCGCGAAGGCTTTAGCCTTCCCGCTGGGCCTTGCGGCCACGTCAGCGTTCCATAGCTTCCCATATTCACCTTCGTGACGGCGTTCCCCTGTCGGTACCCGCGCAGCCACAGCGGCATCTGGTGGCAGCAGCGCGGAGGTACTTGGCAGTGGATGTCGGATCCGATGCTTCATTCTGATAGTAGCGATTCTACTGATTTTCTCGAGACGGACCGCAGCCGCAGTGACAGCCCCGAAGGCCGCCGCCACAAGCACCACGACACTCCCACTCGGCGTTCTGGACGGGCACACCGAGCTGATCGAGACCGCGAGCGGGACCGAGACAGAGGTGAACGTGTTCGCCAAGGTGGTGATGCACGTGCCGATAGGCCACGCAGTGATGTTCGCGCCGATCGTGATGGCACCCAATTTCGATCTGGCCGCGCGGGCGCTCGCTCCTCTGACCGCCGTGAACCCGAGGCAGGTGTTGAATGCAGAGTTGGAGATGCCGCTGCTGTTCTCGCTGCTCTGTCGCCGTCTGCGGTCGAGCAGGTTGGCAGCGGACACGGAGGCGGCCCCCACTTTTCCTGAAGTTGAAGCGCATCCTGGCCATCCTGTCGGTGCTGGCTTCGCTGCTGCAGCGCAGTACGGCGGCACTGCGGCGCCCGTCGCTGCCGGCAGCAGCGTGGACCCGCTGCAGGAGCATGATCCGTGGAGTGGCACGCAGGGATCCTAGTGGACTCGAGCAGCGTCTTCGAGATGCTGCGCGGGTGGAAATTGAGAGGGTTCGAGCTGGAGCGGCTGCGTCGGCTGCGAGTGCGGCTGCCAGCGCTGCCGCGGCTCAAATGGAGACCATTGCGGGCCAGCTGTGCACCTCGTTCCTGGTGGAACAGGAGCGCACACACAGGCGCCTGGATGCGCAGGCTCGCGAGGTGCAGGCAATTCGCCAGCGACAGGATGAGGATGCAGCTGAGCAGGCTGCAGTTCGAGCTGAAGTGGCGGCCATCAAACAGCAGCTGGCCGCGTCCGAGGCGCAGCTGCCGTTCGATGTGGACAGCCTGGCGATCTGGGACCGCGCCGTGGGCCGGCATGTCTTATCGGTCGGCATTGTTGCCCCTGCGGCCCCGAATAATGTGCGATATTCTCGCTCCAATGATGCTAAACTTCTGCCTGCGCAGTGTGAGCTCGTCGGTGACGTCGTGGCAAGGCAGTTCACCGTGCGAGTGCTGGGCAGCAAGTCCGAGGCCAGCTCCCGCGCCACTGCGCTGGTCAAGAATTTGCGCACCTCTCAAGTTGCATCTGCTGAGGGAGCCGCGGTCGCGATGCATGCGTCTACGGATCAGAGCCCCAAGATGGTGCGAGGGGATTTGCAAGCGGAGAAGATGTCGAAATTGTTGTAGGAGAAGTACCCGCCCCTTTCTTGGAGGCGCAGGCGAGCTCAGTTCCAGGTGCACGCTGTCAGCTCGAACCTCACAGGCAGGCTGAACCGACGCGCAGTAGATGGAACCTCAATGCCACGACGCAGTTCAACATCGACACCGGTGCGATCGAGACTGCCTTCGACGCAAGCTTCTCGGCAGCAGAAGTTCAGCGGCCCGGGTAACAGTGGCTGGGCTCCGCGGGAGCCCTTTCGCCGCGACTTGCATCGCCGCCTCATCATCATGCGCTGGACCGCCCGCAGTCTGCTGCGCATCGACTCAAGGAAGCGCGATGCCAAGACCCGTCTTTTGGCTGAATACATGCGCCAGCGATTCCTCATCGCCCTCAAAGAGGTCCGGGGATGCCGGGCGCCTCCAGAGGCTGGTCGACAACGCGCCCTACACGCACGAGTTCTTCACGTCTGGCACCGATGTCTCTGCTGGCGGCGCGGCCTTCCTCGCGCCGCGACGCCCGCGACGTCGGCCTGCGCCTGGCGCGTTGCAGCCAGCGCGCGCCCTGCAACCGATCGTTCCTGGCCGCGCGGCCGCCCTGCATACCTCCCAGCGCGCGCCCCCACTCGACGCGCATCCTCAACGCGCATAATTCTCAGCTCTTCGGCCCTCGACGCGCATGAGATCGAGCGCCCCTGGTCGGTCGAGCACGCAGCACAGCACGAGCGCACGTCCAAGTTTTTGGCTCTCGGCGACTTCAACGTGCCCGAATCCCTCCCCCGTTCCTTTCGCTCCCCGCGGCAGGCTGCCGATGCTGACGCCCCCCCCGTCTTTCTCTCCCAGTCATTGACAGCCGAGGCCAACGTCTGCAAGCACGCTGGCGCCGCATGTTTGCGTCAGTCTTAGAGATCACTAATGACTTGCCCACTCGGAGCGGCTCGCATAGGCTGCAGGTCTCGCGCATCGATAGGATTGGCGTTTCTGGCTGCCCGTCATCTGATGCTCGCTAACGCAACGTTGCAGATCGCACGCGGGCGCACTCGTCTGTCGGACCGCGGCTTATCTGATCACGCTGCGCCCATGATCTAGATCTCCCAGTCTGCCCCGCGATCGCAGCAAGAACGCGACATCCGCCCCCACCTGTTTCGCACTCCCGAGTTTCAACGCATATTTGATTGCACGTTGTCTCGCACTGACTTTTTGCAATTGCGCACAGTTGCAGCTTGGGAGGGCATCAAATCTGTCATGTGTGAAGCTGCCGCGTTTACGCGTCATAAGCCCCGGGGCCCTGAGTATCTTTTCCTGCGCGTCCAGATGCTCCAATCGCCCGCGCGCGCACGTTTCGCCCCATGGCCCGCGCGCTGCGGGGAAATGATGTGCGCGCAGCCTCTCGTCTCATCGCTACCTCTCCCCTCGCCTCCTCTCACCTTGACGTCGTTGACGGTCGGGCCGACCCCATCTCTCCTGCTTCCTTCCATTCACAATGCGACGCAGCCAACGATGGGTGGCGCCAGCGTCGCGCGTCTCGCCCCGCGACGAATCCGGCCGACGCGAGGGTGAGTCCTTCCAGCG